GGGGGGGTGGGGTTGTAAGTTGTAGGCAATGGAAGGAGTCATTCCCGTCCGTCCGTCCGCCCGCTCAATGTATGGTGTCTCTCGGTCCGCCCGTCCGCTCGCTCGCTCGCTAAACAAACTGTTGTCTCTGTCCGATGTGTAGCGAGTAGCAAACTACTCTTCACAAACGGACGGTTCGTTACCCGTACGCTCGTTTGCGGGTAGTGCCAACGAGTAGTTCATTACTCGCAGACGTTAATTTTGCGAGCCCGACCCAACCCTAGTTACAAAAGAGTAACAAACACCAAAAAGAAGGAGAGATTTTTTTTTTCGTAAGAGTTTTACGGCACTTGCAACACAATAAGGTCATATAACTGCCGAAGAATAGATGTGTTACAAGAGAGTAACATACACAAAAAGAGAAGGGAGGAGAGATAAGGAGAGTAGATGTTTGATGGGAAAGAAGGGGCAAACCACACCAGAGCTCCCGCCAACCATCCACTGTTTTATGCCTCCTCATTGACACAATTTAGATCATTCATGCTAGTAAATCTTTTCATAGCCCAAGACCAAACTACACAAAATCATAAAGCAAGACTGCAATAACAGGCTTTTTATTTATTAATTTTTTTATAGTAGAGGGTTTTACGGCGCTCGCAACTGCATAAGGTTATATGAGCGCCAAGGGGTGGGTGTCAACAGAGAAATCTTTACAGGGAATCAGGCTTAGACTGCTCATCTCTCTAGCTTCAAAAGCACAAGGTCTGCTTTAACTATCAAGGCACCCCGGAAATAGCAGGTCACAAGAGAGTGACAAACATACAAAAGAAGTAGAGGAATATGACAATAGTAAGGATCAGGAAAGAAAAAGCAGCAGTTCCCTGTTGCAGATCAGGCACAGTTATGAGCGTGACATGAGTCAGCCCATTTACAATTCTACTATGCTTGAACGAGAAATGTCCCCCCTTTGGGAATGGCCTAAAGACACTACAGTCAGTGGCACTGCCCCGGGGCGTAATAACAGGCTAAATGCATAGATAGGCACAGGCAAGCAAAAAACAAGTACAAAAATTAACAAACTAAACTACAAATACAGCTGGAGGTACTTACAATCACGAAACTTTCTCGGAGTCATTTTCTCACACAGATAATAAAATCTCACTGTTATAATAATGAAGATATGACTAACTCAAAAGCAACAGTCTTTTTTTATTTATAAATAATAATAAATGACATTTATAAAGCGCTCAACCCTGATTAAAGTACACAGGCTCTGAGACTGGCATCATTTCTACCACAATTTATACAGCACGGACCCTACTCTACTATGGTCCACTTGCATATCTTGAGGAGGGAAGAAAAAAAAACCCACCTGTTTTCTTCTTAACGACACCACCACGCAACCGTTGTGAAACTTATTGAGGACTGTTATCTTTGGACGCACACAGATGATGCAATAAACCATCAATTATAGAATTAGAAATTATCATAACACAGAAGTAGAATTCTTGACCCATTTTCAGGGTATTCAATTACTGTGACACCATTGGCATGGGAAGGACCTTGGGATATAAATAGACTATTGTCCGACCAACAGGGGGTGCAACTCCCTCATTCGGGAGGTGCCACTCCGACACTACAGCTTTCCAAACCATGGTTTTAGAAGGAAAAAAAAGGCACTTTTTAAAATTATATGAAATTAGGGGGGGGTTTATACAAAAAGCAACATTCAGTACCCAAACCACTTGAACTGACCTTGGCCAAAAATTCCTCTTCTTCTTTTTCTTCTTCTTTTTCTTCTTCTTCTTCTTCTTCTTCTTCTTCTTCTTCTTCTTCTTCTTTTTCTTCTTCTTCCTCTTCTTTTTCTTCTTCTTCTTCTTCTTCTTCAAGTGCCAGATCTGAAACAGGCACTTTGATAGTCTTTAAAAAAAAACCCTACCTAAATTACCAAGCGCAGATTCTGTCGCAGTGCTTGCATGTCAGTGTCGTAGATCGAAGCTCTGTATTTCCAGGCTATATATATACACTACACAAAAACTATCTATTCTTAGGTTCAAGGCTTTACCGTCTATTCAACAAACACTCGGCAGATACAGCGGAACCTACCACTATCGCTGGCAGCTGCAGACTCAGGAGCTTTGCCACCCGCGGGGGCACTGGCCTTGGGGGCCTTGGGAGCTTTGGGGGTCTGTGGAAGACACAAAGGAAGATTTGTTTTATTGTTTCAGTTAGGTTTTACTGCCCTCGCAACAGCATAAGGTCATATGAGCGCCAAGGGGTGGATGTCAACAGAGAAGTCATTACAGGGAATCAGGCTTACTCTGCTCACCTCTCTAGCTTCAACAGCTTAAAGTCTGCTTCGACTATCAAGGCACCCCGGAAACAGCAGTTCACAAGAGAGTGACAAACATACAAAACAAGTAGAGGAAAAAATTACGATAGTAAGGATGAGGAAAGAAAAAGCAGCAGTTTCCCCTCACGTTGTTCCGGCACAGTTTGAGCATGATAAATTTATAAATCAGCCCACTTACAATTACAATTCTACTGTGGATAAGAACATGTTAATATCTCCCCTTTGGGAAGGGCCTTAAGTCATTTCAGTCAGTAGCACAGCTGTGGTGTATTTGGTTGTTTTTGGTTGTGGCAGGGGGTTAGGACTAGCCTATTGTATTGTTTGGCTGAAAGTGTGAGAGTGAGTAAAGTGTGAGTCTGTGTTCAGTTGTATTGTTTGCAAGTTGATAAAAGTCTGAGTTACTACTGGTGGGACTTTTGAGAGGAGAGAGTTGTATCAAGGCAGAGGAGGCCTGCTGAAAGTATAGGTTGTGAAAAAGGCTAGTTAGAGCCTCGGTTCAGTTGTGCGTGAAGTGTGAGATTCCAATCCAATGCATCGGGGCCCCAAAGCTGCGGAAGGAATCACAACACAGAGCAGAGGAACAGGTTTGGCTAATTCCTGTTATAGTGGCATGTGACAGAAGGTTAGTAGTGTAAAATCTTTGTTTTATGTTACTAGTAACAACAACAGCCCTGGGCGGGTATTTGTCAGTTACGAGCTAGCCGGATTGTCCTCCAAGGGAATGGCTAAACCAACAAAACTAACAATGACTTTCAATAGCAAACGCATTTGTTCTCATGGCCCCACATTGACTGATTGGTTAGGGCAGTTAAAACCTGCAAATTCTTTGCCATATCGACAGACCGAAGGGCTAGAACCCAAATGGCCGCTGGATCGGAAAAGTAAAAAGTAAAGTAAAAGTAAAGTTAGGGCAGTTGGTCTATTTAGTGTTCACTGAAGCTGTCAGAAACTGAACTGAACCAAACCGATCCTCCAATCGGCACCGTCTATTTATTTCAGTAATAGTTTTGAGGCACTTGCAATAAAAATAGGTCACCTGGCTTGCCAACTTTTGAGATACTGAATTCTGGAATTTTTATTGCGCTTGAGCGCCACGGACACACACTTCTGTGATAGGCTACTAAAGCTACTAAAAAAACACACCCACACCACCACAAAAACAGCTCAAACAAACCTGTCGAGAAACAGAGAGAAGAGAATGTTACAGTACAGTTACTACACATACCTCTAAAACAGAAGCAGCCCCATGTAGATCCCCTCCCTGCTTCTTTCTAAGAAAATAATAAATTTTTATTTAATTGGGGGGGGGGGGGGGGAGAGACATTGCGATTCTCGGGAAACTGTTATTTCGGGAAAGGTTTGGGAGCGACGATGGCAATTTTGGAATTTCCTGAAAAATTCAGGAAGGTTGGCAAGCCTGGGTCACATAAGTGCTGAGGATTTGAAATGTTACTAGAGAGTAATATACAAATAAAAGAAGGAAAGATGAAGATGATGTATGTTCGATAGACATGAAGGAGCAAATCACACCAGAGATTTCCTGTCCATTACCTTTTGTGGCTTTTCTCTATCAGCGTCAGTCTTGGGGCCCAAAAGATCCAAAATCTGAAATGAAGAAACAAAGAATGTTGGGGGGTTTTTATAAGACGAGATCGCTACATAAAACAAACCTCTCTCTTTTTCTCCGTACTTCCTTCATTCTTTGACTCTCACTCACTGTTAGAACATGGGAGAGCGGCATATGCTGTATGACAGTTACTCTCTTCGCTGTCACACACAGACCACACGAGGTCAATTCCTGTTTGAGCGGGTCACGACCTCAGTGCTTTCTTGTCTTATCTTCATTTTTAATTAAAGTGAAAACAGTTCATAACAAAGAGTGAGCTTAAGAAGAAGTCACAATTTCAATGTAAAAAAAAATGGAGATATGAGGAGAAAGCACTGAGAGGGAGGGATTTTTTTAGATCAATCGAGTTTCTCCATCTGTCTGCAGAGAGTCTTTGCATCTCTCTCAGCCTGGTTAGCCCTGGAGGGGGTGGAAGGAGGGGAGAGAGGGGGGGGGGAGGGGTGTGGAGCTGGAAGCTGGGGGAGGAGGTGGGGGAGAGAGGGGGGGGAGGGGTGTGGAACTGGAGGCTGGGGGGAGGGGGTTGGGGGAGAGATGGGGATGGGGGGAGAGGGTGGGGGAGAGAAGGGGGGAGAAGGGATGGAGGAGATGGGGGAGAGAGGAGGGAGGCTGGAGGTGGAGAGGTACAAATAACACCCTGCCTCCCCAAGAGGGGAGGCCCAACTCCCGTGCTGGTAGTGCACCACTCATATCATGACACAGTGACACAGCTCTGGTATACAAGAAACACACGTCATTTTTTTAGTTACTTCATCTTCACTCTGGCTCTCTTGTGCATCAATCTGCCAACCTGGGTATTCAAACTAACAAAAAATCAGACCCATGAAACAGTACAAAGTGAAGGGAACCACCCATCTTGGCCAGCAAAATGTAAAAACCCAAACAAAAACAACCCATCTTCTCCTTCTTGCCTTCTACAGCCATATATCCCATAAAGACAAACTTATGCGCATACATTTCCTCAACCGGTATCTTTAAAAACTTGATAACTAAATGTTCCACTGCTTCTACGTTTGAGAAATAAGCTGTGAACTCTTAATATTCGACAAACAAAGCACATTAAACACATGAGAAAAAACAAAATTACTTGCCTGCATATCCAACTCGTTTTTCACAGCTTTTGCATCTGCCCATTTGATTTGACCTTTTGCTTCACCTGAAATGTGCAGAGAAAAAAAGTTACCAGGGATAGCTAACATTGTGAGGAATTATAATAGATCATGAGAAGCAACAAAACCATTTGTGCCAAAAAAAAATTTTTTTAATTATTTTTTTTATAGTAGAGGGTTTTACGGCGCTCGCAACTGCATAAGGTCATATAAGCGCCAAGGGGTGGATGTCAACAGAGAAGTCTATACATGGAATCAGACTTATTCTGCTCACCTCTCTAGCTTCAACAGCACAAGGTCTGCTTCGACTATCAAGGCACCCCAGAAATAGCAGGTCACAAGAGAGTGACAAACATACAAAACAAAAAAAGTAGAGGAAAATGACAATAGTAAGGATTAAGAAAGTAGATCAGGCACAGTTATGAGCATGACATGATGAATCAGCCCATTTACAATTCTACTGTGCTTGAACGAGAGATGTCCCCCCTTTGGGAATGGCCTAAAGACACTACAGTCAGTGGCACTGCCCCGGGGGGTTGTGCAAAAAAGAAAAATGCGAACCCGCTTGAACCAATAGCACACTCACACAACTCATCCAGAGTGTTCGGTTTTAGTCAAAGTTTCACACCACTTGTAACACAAATAAGTCATGAATATATAAATGCCAAAGATTAGAGGTGATACTAGAAAAGAAGGAGAGATAAGTACAACAGATGTTTATTAAGACAGAAGGAGCAAACTATACCTGAGTACCCATCAACCATTAGGAAAGAATATTCAGGTTTCAGAGGGAGAAACTTTCACATGATGGGATACACAACATACAAAACACCTGGAACTGAAAAGATTCCCCGCTCCACCATCATCTTTCGACTAACATTTTTCTGACTAGCACCAGGAATTCTGATCTTACTTAATTAACAAAAAAACTAAAAAAGAAAAAAAAATGAGCAAGTTCAGAATTACCCAGCATCATTCCAGTGTTGTAGTGATACCGTTTCTCCAACAGCCCATCTTTGTGTTTCTTAATCACACCTTCAACCTGAGAGAAAAGACATATCCAAAGAGTGGTTCTGTTAATAAAATGAAATTCAAAATTCAAATAAAAAAGCCAGAACAGCGGTAATTTACACATGGATCTATAAAGACCATCTAAAACCCGAGCAATCGCCTAAAATACAACAAATACACTCTTGAATTATCTGAAGTGCCTACTACAATCTAGCTCAATAAAAAACAGACAAAAACTAAAGTTTGACAGATGTATGAGCTTACTGAACGACTATCTCTGTCTTTCTCAAAATTCTCAGCATGGGATGCAACGTCCCACACAACATGAATTGGCCCTGACCTGAAGGGTCAGGTTTATAGGTTTTAGTGTGAGTTTTGCAGCACTTGCAACACAAATAGGTCATATAAGTGCCAAACATTAGAGGTGTTACTGAAGAGTAACAAACAGATAAGACATTTAAAAGAAAGATATAAGGGCCATAGATGGTTGGAGCAAAACCTCACCTGTCAATCACCAAAAACGAATCTCACCTCCTTTCTATTCTCGTTTTACAGCACTTGCAACACAATATGGTCATATAAGTGCCAAAGAACAGATGTGTTAGAAGAGAGTAACTTACACAAAAAGAACGAGGAGAGATAAGGATGATAGATATTTGATAGAGGAAAGAAGGCGCAAACCACACCAGAGCACCTGCCAACTACCCACAAGGAATCCCACCTCCAAATGACCAAACTTGTACTGATCGGAGGCATCATAAAACATCTCTACAAATCTCTCCTAAAGTTTTTCTTACCACCGTCTCGATCTCCTCTGGAGAGACGACCACGCCCACACCGCAAGCTTCCTCAAAAGACTTTGTGTCTACGTCCAGACCTGGGTTGTGCAGACAGTAGTCCAGGGCAGCTGTGGACACAAGGTGGTCATTGTTAAATTCTATTGCACAAATCACCCTATAGTACTTAACTGGATCTTTTTTTTTCAAACAAATTTAGCAGTGACTTCATTCAATATTTCGGTAAAATCCTTAGCGACAGGCAGTAAATATAATTTAGAAATATTACAAAATAAGATGAGAACATTGTGTGACAAAATATCATGTATTTTATAAAAGTATTATGTGATTTCAAAGTCAACCTGAACCCTTCACAAACAAGTTTGCAAGAGAAAGACATTAACACAATATAAAAATTTACAGTTACTGGGTGATGGTAAAAAGTAAGACAGGCATAAACTGTCTGTTTTAGTTTGGTTATAGGAAGCTTTACCACACTTGCAACACAAATAGTCACATATTGATAATTGACAACGATTACAGGTGTTACTAAAGAGTAACAACATAAAAGGAGGAGAGCTGAGGAAACAGATGTTTGACATGAAGAGAAAAAGCAACACAGCAAAGCACCTGCCAACCCATCCACAAGACAGAAACAAAAAAAAAGATATTGAAAGGGAGCAGGACCTACCAGTCGCACGCTCCTTCTCTTCTCCCCCCCCCCCCCACCCCCCACCCACACACATACATACAACATTCTCAACAAAAACCAAAAAGGAAACAGTTTGCTTTTTATTCGGGCAAAAGCCCAAGCCAAGCACAGACAGAAAGTTTGCAAACAAGACCCACATTCTTTTTTACACAAAAAGGTCACCTGTTAGCTGTGCCTCAGATGCAATCTTCCTGGTGGCAATGTACTTGACCAGCATATTCTGGTGACCTTTGACTTGTGCTTTCAGCTTGGTAACAAGATTGTACAGCAATTTGCCCACATCCTTGTTCCGAACGCCTTCGCCTCCATATTCATCAGCCTGTTGTCAAAGCAAAAGAGAGGAATCTTCTTAGGGACAGAAAGACTTTTACGGTACTTGCAATACAATAAGGTCATATAAAAGTGCCGAAGATAAGAGGTGTTACAACAGAGTAAAAAACATTTATAATAAAGAAGGAGGAGAGATCAAAACGATAGATGTTTGATGGGAAAGAACCTGAGCAAACCACACCAGAGCATCCACTAACCACCCACAAACGAGAGGAATGCTCATTACATGCCATGCACGACTCCAATGAGTTCATGTGTGCTCTGCAGCGGGGTAGAAAGACCACTTACAGTTAATGTAGAGACATTTATAACGAAAGGTAGTAATGTGACTGATCTGAGGCTATAGATACTTTTAATTACAAAAAAGTTATCGAACAAACATGTTGTAAACACCCCCCCCCCCCCAAAAAAAAAAAAATCCCCTGAAATCTATTCAATCTTTTAGAAAAACACACAAACCCCTCGAGCAACCATTCTGGTTGAGATCGTATAATGTAAGGAATTGGTATTTTGTTCTCTAAAAAAAGTTCTGAATTCCATCCTCCTCTCCATCAATCAAGACATAGTCATAGTGCCCTTGGGAGAAATTCAACCAGTTCTGATTGCTCATGAGATCAAGAAACTAACCCACTGAGCTGTTAAGAATAAGCAATCAGGTATAATGAATAACAATGATTCTTGTTTCAATTTCATTTCATGTAACTAATGTCTTCGAAGCAGACAGGCGAACACATGTGTGCCAATTCCAATAAATTTTGTCTTTAGGGACAACTTGTCACCAATCAGAAAGCCCAACAGACAAAGAATTATATCTTGTAAAGTTTACAAGCTTTGTAGCCTATATTTTGGGGTGAAAAGAAAAGAGAAGCAAGGATTAGAATTAGTTCTATGTAGAAAAAACATAATTTTGAGCTGAGGCTATCAAATAAACATGATCAAACATTATTATAGATTATTTGTTGGGGTGGGGGGGGGGTTACTGTACTGTATGTTATTAGCCCTAAATATTCAATAAAGTGAAAGAGGCCTTTTAACAGAATTTGACCACTTTCCAGTCTAGACTAGAATTTAGATCTAAACCTGTCAACAACAGAAATTCTTTTGGCTAAAGTTTAAAATAAAAATTATATTGGTACTGTTGTAAAACAGACATTGAGTGCCAGTATGTATGTTAAGAAAAATGTTGACATCCAGAAACAGGAAGTAAAAACCACAAGGAGCAAACAAGTACCCATTCTAGTTCCAGCCAACTAGATTCTAGATCTAGCACCAAAAAAACTCACAACTGCTAGAAAAGTAAAGGCAAAGACATGTAGATTTTCTATATCAAGATCTAGATAGATCTAGTTGCCCAATAACTAAATTGCTAAACCTAACCCTCTAGAACCATGTGTCAAATTAACTAAATTCTGCTAGTTCCCAAAAGCTTTCAAGGAACTGGAAACGTGACACTCTTTGGTCTGTTGCTGTTCCATTTCAACAAGATTACATCATCAACAACAATCTGTCTGTGTGACTGTTTTGGTTCAACTTTGTTACTGTGTAATGTGTTGACAGTCATGAGCAGAGCGTTTATTTCTTCCAAGAATGTCAGACTAGAGAGTAAATGTAAAGAACACATGAACGTGTGTTTGTACTCGGGCTAGATCTAGATTTATATCTACAGGAAACAGAGTTGTTGAGAACCACGGGGAAATGTAGCAGACGGACGAGAACACACATTGTGAACAGAACTGAGAAGCACACCTGCGGCCGGCCGGTACCATCAGGTAGATGGTACGACCAATATCTTATCAACGAAATAGACAGTGACTACTCACAGTTTTTATTGCTTGCTTCAGACTTTCGGTCAATTGTTCATTTTTTAAAGTCTCCTTTGCTTTCTGCTCAGTTAATCCTATACTAACGAACAGGTCCACGACGGCTCCAGCCATGTTGACTCTCTCCAAGTTGACACAGGAAGTACTTCTTCGGAACTGAAAACAAAAGTAGTTGGAACAAGCAAAATCAAGAAGGGCGACTCTAATATACCGTACTGTCTTTGAGTTAAAATGTATAGCCTTGACTTCGCCGATCAAAGCCCTTCTGCTCAACCAGACGCTCTGAAAAAAAAAATTATGATTATTATTTGGGGTTTTGGGGGGGGGTTTTGTTCTTATTTTTTATTATTATTGCCCTGTTCTTTTCCTGTCACCGATCAATTCAAATTCTTTTTTCATGACCCTTTCTGCCTCTTTTGCCTTCTGAACAAGGTGCTTATATAATAGGCCTACATCATAGATGTACACCAGAGACACTAATTAAATACTCTCTGTGTACACTATAAAAGGAGATAACTCTATGGCCTACATACATAATATAGCCTATTCTTTTTTTTCACTCAGAACGTTATAAAAGCTATAATTGTTTTTAGATCTATTCGTGACGTCCAATAATGGCTTGTTTCGGCAATGCCTTAACTTGGCTAGTTTCCCTTTCCTTAAATTATCGACAGTCTATTAATAAACCACTTTCTTTTTTGTCTCTACTTGAAGTAACTAAATGACCACAATCTAGGCCTATATACGTCCTGTCCTGCAGAAGGGTTGATAGCAAAGAGGGCCTACTATAAAACTATCATTTATTCTTGCTATTGAGACGTTGTTTATATTTTCCAGGATTTAGCAAGATAAGATAAGATAAGATAATACTTTATTATCTCAAGTAAAACTTTTTTGGGGGGGGGGGGCTGTACAGGACCGTAAAAACACATGCAGGCGTATTTTTTAAAATTAAATTATATATTACTCTCATTAAAATTAAATACGAAAAGAGAAGTAACGCTGACAAAACGTACATATCACATCTGATGCCTCTTTCAACCGCATGCAGGAATTTAATTACAAGACATTTTTAGTTGTATATATAGAGAGAGATACATACTCGAAAGAGCAGTACATATTGATGCTTATTCTAACAATGAACCAACTTTACTAAAGAAAATTCCCTTTGGCAACTCTGAGAGGTTTATGAGCAACCACATCAACAAGTGGGTGCACGAGGGCACTTTACTTTTAAAAGATTTACCCAGACTCTCACTTTCTCTCCCTCCCTTGGTCTCTTTCCCCCTCTTTCCTCCTCCTCCACCTTCACCCGCTCTTTCTTTCGCTTTCTCTTCCTCCCTTTGCCCCCCTCCTTCTCCCTCTCCCTCTCCCCGCTCTCTCTCTCTCTCTCTCTCTCTCTCTCTCTCTCTCTCTCTCAATCTCTCACCCTCTCTCCCTCCCCCTCTCTCACTCTCTCTCTTTCTCTTCCTCTCTT